AGCAAAGGGTCTGAATACTTATGACCATGTGATATTTCAGTTTTTCTTTTTTAATAAATTTGCAAAAATTTCTACATTTCTGTTTTTTTCCGTCAAGATGGGGTGCTGAGTGTACATTCATGAGGAATAAAATGAACTTTTTTGATTTTAGCAAAATGGGTGCAATGAAACAAAGAGTGAAAAATTTAAAGGGGTCTGAATACTTTCCGTACCCACTGGATAATGTCCCATTATAGTCACATATGAATCCACTGACCTTGAAGTCCAGGCGGCTTTATGCTTCACTTCTCTGTAGAGCTTGGGTACGGCTGTGTCGGTGAAAAAACGTGGGGGCGGAATCACATACCTGGGTGATGGACTGTGTTATTTTCTTCGCTCTCTCAGAGTTGGATGGTAGTTTTGTGGAGCTAAGTGTGTCCAGGGCTGGTTGATTTTTAGCGTTAGCTTGGCCGTCATCGGCTAACGCTATCTCTGGATGGTGGCGTGAGGTGAGTCCTCATGTTCGTAGTATTCAGAGTATTTTATTGTCATATGACTCTGCTTGCAAATCACTTGGCATTTCCAAGTCCTCCTTTCCTTAAAAAAATCTAAAATAAGTCCAGACGTTTGATTTAAACGCCAACGTCGTATTTCTGATTCTTTGTCCGACCTGAGACTTCTGCGGACCTCACCAGGAACAAAAACATCAGCACCATCTAGTGGGCAGAAAAAGCAATTGATGTTATTATTCTAGTACCAAGAGTTGTTATAAAATGTGTATTTGAAAAAATTAATAATATATATACATGGCGTCTGTGTATCAATACAATAACACCACGCAAAATATTGTGATAATGTGCTGTACCGATTTTTCCCCACTCTGAGAAAACAGCTAAGTTGCTATGAAAAACACATAAAACACTTCTCATTACTTAGCGTCATATCTCAGGAACAGAAGGGGAGACATTTGGTCAGATACTGAACTGGTGAATCTAATCTTGAAACTGTGCTGATTGTATAGATCTGCTGTGTGTGAAGCATCCATGTTTTCACTGACATGAATGGAGACTGTCAGAGACACTGGACTGGTGGGCGGAGTCATACGACCACAAGGCAGTTATTCTGGTTTTGACTAATTGGTTCTCTTTTGTTTATTGCAGTGGCGCTCCAGAAGCACACGAGGTCAGCTCCTCTTGTTTCTGCAAACGACAGAATTGGACAGTCGGCATCGCTGGATGGAGTCAGTTTCTCAGAGGGGGAGCTCCTTCTGCAGGTACAGCAACTAAACACTGGATTACATGTGTGCATATGTGTGTAGTGGTTAGTGTGGATGTCATATTGTATTTCCATGATTTCTGCAGGCTTTAAATGGCTTTGTGTTGCTGGTGACGACTGATGGCACGATCTTCTACACATCCCCGACCATCCAGGACTTCCTCGGCTTCCACCAGGTAAAACACAGTGTGAATATCTTTCTTTGTACCAGAGGTGGAGGAAGTTTTCAGGTGCTTTGTTAAAGTAAAAATAGCAGTAGTATAAATACCTCATGACTGTACAGGACTTGTAGTAAATGTAACCTGTCTTCCTTCCTGTCTTTCCTCAGTCTGATGTGGTGCAGCAGAATGTGCTTGATCTCGTCCACATGGACGACAGAGAGATGTTCAAGTGTCAGCTCCACTTCGCCCTCAACCCCAACGACACACACTCAGACGTGAGAGCAGAAGGTACAAATTCAAGTCATCAATATCTACCCGTGTCTCTGTCACAAATATGATACGTTTTATTCAGGTGTTGCCTCCATATTGTTGCTCACAACCTTTGAGTAGTGTGCCTGTCGCTCTGGGGGGTTGCCTTCATCCCTTGTTGAACCTCCTCTACCGTTGCCCTAGCTCGAGAAAGCTAGAAGGCTAAGCTAGAAGGTAAGATGTGGTGCAATACAGTTAAGGAACGTCACCAGTTTGAGATGACTGTCGCTCTGGGGGGTTGCCTTCATCCCTTGTTGAACCTCCTCTACCGTTGCCCTAGCTCGAGAAAGCTAGAAGGCTAAGCTAGAAGGTAAGATGTGGTGCAATACAGTTAAGGAACGTCACCAGTTTGAGATGACTGTTGTTTATCTGTAGATGGGCATTCAAGCAGTAAAGCCTCCAGCAGCTCAGTGAGCTTGTTGCCTCAGTACATCCCTCCAGAGAACTCCTCGTTCCTGGAGAGAAGCTTCTGCTGTCGTCTCCGCTGCCTCCTGGACAACACCTCTGGATTCCTGGTAATGTAGTCTCTTTTTTTAAGATTATTTTTCGGTGGACATTTTGCCTTTAATTGATAGGACAGTATTGGGTGTGAAGGGGGATGACATGCAGCAAAGTTTGGGGACTCTAACAGCAAAGGCCTGAGGTTACAGGCTGAGATCAAGGAACAGCCCTGCAGAGCTGCATCTTCTGATCTAAGGGAACACTGGATGAACACAGTCGTTAGGATTCATCCTCTGGGGAACATAAATGCTGTACAGAATTTCATGACAGTCCATCCAATATCTGCTGAGATATTTCCGTCTCGACCAAAGTGATAGACAGATGTGTGTCATCCACAGAGCCGTGCTGCCAGCATCACCTGATGTTTGTTGATATTTTGTCTCCTCCGCTTCCAGGCTCTGAACTTCAATGGACGTCTGAAGTACCTGCATTTGCACGGAAACACAGGGGCCGATGGGACCGCAGCTCCTCCTCAGCTGGCTCTGTTTGCCATCGCCACTCCTGTGCAGCCTCCTTCAGTCATGGAGATCCGGACTAAGACCCTCATCTTCCAGACGAAACACAGAATGGACTTTGCTCCTCTGGGCATAGACACCAGGTAGACATCTCTGGACAGTCTCTTCATATAATATTAAATACTTCCCAGGATCAGCTTCTTTAACAGTCCTTGTGTTTGTGTGTTTCAGAGGGAAGCTGGTTTTAGGATATTCAGAGATCGAGTTGGTCACACCAGGCTCCGGCTATCAGTTCATCCACGCTGCTGACATGATGTACTGCGCTGACAACCACCTCCGCAGTGAGTTGTCCTATAAGACACACCAGCATTATTCATGTGCTACTCTTCAGCGCTGTTATTAACCTGATTCACATCTCCGTCTTCAGTGATCAAGACTGGAGACAGCGGCTTCACGTTCTTCAGACTGCTGACTAAAAAAGGACACTGGTTGTGGGTTCAGGCCAACGCCAGGGTCGTCTTCAAGGGAGGGAGACCTGACTTCATCATCGCTCGGCAGAAAGCCCTCACGTAAGCATCGGCTTCTTATCTTACGCTCTTATTTGGTCAAGGGTGTCATTTCTGAAATGTGTTCTTAAGAGAGGTCCTTAGAATAGTCTGCCTCAGATTCATGATGTGTTCTTAAACTGCAGAATTGTTCGCACCGGTGATTTTATAATTGTGAATCCCATTTTCCTCATAAATTAAAGGCACGTGTGAGTTGATCCCAGTTAGCATTCGTAGGTAGAGACCTGCAAATCACCATAAAAGTGTGTGAGACTGTAGGGCCGTGTGCACAAAGAGAAATAAAAGAAGAAGGAGCAAATGAGACAATTAAAGTCAAGAATGTCCAACCTAAAGTCTGAAAAGGGTGGAGCACCCTTAAGCAGAAAGTGAATGCCAAATGAGTGGTCATATTTAGTAGCGTCAGAAGTGGATATAAAATAACAGGAAACTAGAATTACCACCCCATGGTTATATGCCTTCGCCCACCAGTCCAGTGTCTCTGACAGTCTCCATCCATGTCAGTGAAAACATGGATGCTTCACACACAGAAGATCTATACAATCAGCACAGTTTCAAGATTAGAGTCACCAATTCAGTATCTGACCAAATGTCTCCCCTTCTGTTCCTGAGATATGACGCTGAGTAATGGCCAGAAAAGTGTTTTATGCAGAACATAATGATGTCAAAATGAAGTTGACCTTTGACCACTGAAACCCAATCAGTTCATTGTTGAGTTCAAGTGGACATTTGTGCTAAATTTGAAGAAATTTCCTCAAGGTGTTTTTGAGATACCACGCTCAGGAGAATGAGACAGTCTAATTCACAGTGACCTTGACCTTTGACCTATGACTGCCTAAAACTAGTCACTTCATAGTTGAGTCCAAGTGGATATCTGTGCCAAATTTGAAGAAATTTCCTAAAGGTGTTTTTGAGGAATTGTGTTCTAAAGAATGAGATGGATGCAAGGTCACAGCGACCTTTACCTTTGACCCTTGACCACCAAAATGTTCTGAAATTCCCTTAAGGTGTTCTTCAGATATCACGTTCACAAGAATGAGACAGACAAGGTCACATATACCTTGACCTCTGACCACCGAAATCCAGTCAGTTCGTTGGTGAGTCCAAGTGAACATTTGTGCCAAATTTGAAGAAATTCCCTCAAGGTATTCTTGAAATATGGTGTTCACAAGAATGAGTCAGACAAGATCACGGTGACATTTGACCACCGAAATCTAATCAGTTTATTCTTCGGTCCAATTGAACTTTTGTACCAAATTTGAAGAAATTCCCTCGAGGTGTTCTTGAGATATTGCGTTCTAATGAATGAGATGGATGCAAGGCCACAGTGACCTTGACCTTTGTCCCTTGAACACTAAAATTACCAAGTCCAAGTGAACATTTATGAAATTTTGCTCAAGATGTTGTTGAGATAACACATTCAAAAGAATGCGACAGACAAGGTCACAGTGTTCTTGAGCTTTGACCTATGACCACCAAAATCTTATCAGTTCATTCACAAATCCAAGTGAACGTTTGTGCCAAATTTGAAGACAACCCATAAGGTATTCTTGAGATATCACGTTCACAAAAATGAGGCAGATGAGGTCACCTAGACCTTTACATTTTAGCCTATGACCACCAAAAACTAGTCATTTCGTTCATCGTTGAGTCCAAGTGCACATTTGTGCCAAATAACACCACTGTCAGGACTGAAGACAGAGACGAGCGCCATAACGATCTCCAGTGTGTGTTTGTGTTTGAAAGAGAGACAGAAAGAGGGGGAGACAAGGTGAAGATGGACTCATGCAACGTTTCTGTCTGCTGCTGAATGCTGCTTTGTCACTTTTTGACCTGCCCACCAGAACCGCCTCAGATATTTTCTGGCGTGATCAACCCTAAATTTTTAATTGGCATGGTTCTCATTAACATAACTGGTGTGAACTGAAGTGCATGATGCAGGAAATGGTTTTGGTTAAAGAACCGCTGAGGTCATTGTGCCAAACCTTCACCCTTAGTTTAAGTGTTTAAAGGTACAGTATTCAAATTTTTGGAGTTAATATTAACCCGTTTGTCGCTCCATATTTTTCTGTAGAAACGAAGAAGGAGAGGAACACTTGCACCAGAGGAGACGGCAGCTTCCCTTCAACCTTGCCACAGGTGAAGGCGTCCTCTACTACGTTTTTCTGGAGTCTATCCCCGGTCCTCCTGGCTCCGGTGCACCGGGCTCCACAGTGCCCACAACAGAGAAACCTTTGGACCCCGCCTCCCTGCTGGGATCCCTTCGCCGGCAGGACCACTCTATTTACACCCAGCCTCAGACACCCAGTCCGCAGCTCCAAATCCTAAACCAATTAGAGGACTCTGATTGTGAAGAACAACTCCAGCCGTCTTTGGAGCAAGCCTTCATGGACAGCCATGCTCTGCTCAGCGTGCCGGGCCAGATCCAGGCCTCGCAGAAGAGGACACTCACCGGGGACCTCACATCTGAAGCCATGATTGACTCTTTGGAGCAGATTTTGGGGGATATTGGGGTTGGAGGGATCGAGGGGCTTGAAGTGGAGGAGACGGAGCTGAGGGACTGGGAGAACATGCTCGCCAGGATGAGCGACCAGAGGGAAGACGTATCAGAGGAACTAAATCACATCCTGGCTAACGATGTGTTCACGTACGTTGAGGAGGCTCTGCGGAGGGAGACTGGTGTGTGTGTGCAGGACTCGGATCATGTTTCTGGGTCGATTAACAGTTCATCCGTCCAAGGAAACCATCCTGGATCTTTGTTTTCAAACAGCCAGTGGCAGCCAGTGACGGACATGAAATCTGGCTTTGCAGAGCAGACTCTGTTAGGAGGTGTTTTTGGCGGTGTTGGGTGTTCGCCTGGACTAAACGGCGCTTCTCAAGTTGCGTCTCACACACCAACACCCACACAGTGTCGTAACACTCACCAGGGACACACCTCTTCGTTGTGGCCTCCGAGCAGCAACAATCACCACTGTGGCAAACAAATGATTTCTACACACGCTGAAGTGACACAACATTTTCCATCTGTTAAAAGCACCAACAGTATCCACAGCAGCAGCCGTCAGTCAGGCTTGGATGTGACGGGCCAAACTGTACAATACACGCTGACTGGTTCACAGAGCTTGTCAGCGTGGCGGCAACAGCAGCTGCCGCAAAGTTTTAGCCATCACACACTGACACATTCCTCACACACACCAGGCAGCATGAGCTCGACAGCTCAGCCTTTGTACCCGCAAACGCAGCACTTATCCGGCAGCTGCATGTATGAAAAAAGAGAAGGCCACATACCGAGCGCTGCTACCGTTGCTGCCCAACAGAATGGGCCCCTCCTGGGACCTTCCTGCGCCAGAGGAACCACACACGCTGCAGGGTCGACCACAAATGCTCCCTTTGCACTGCCACGTCCAGGCATGGCGGCTGGAGTCATCAACCAGGGGATGATGCACCCAGCGGCGGCAGCTGGCTGTACGGATTTTGGCAATATCGGTTTGGTTCATCTGAGCGGAAACAACGCTGGTCTGGGAGCAGCTCACTCAGAATATCATCCTGAAAATGGATCATTACAGTCGTCGTTCTTCTGTTGGAGCGATGGCGCTCAGGTAAAATAAAGCCACTATTAGAAACTAATTTGGGAAGGAATGGCTCAGATTTCAGAATTACCCATACGAGAGCTTTCCAACTCTTAGTCCAAGTGGTTATAATTTAAAAAAACACACGTGTATAAGTCTCAGGCAGTTCTTGCCCTGTTTTAATGAGCCTCTCCTCCATCTCAGCTGACCAGCAAACACAGAGTTGTGAAGTGAGAGAAGTCATTTCAGACGTCCCACTCATTTGCTGCACAGTGTTGAGGGACTGATAGTTAAAGCAACTTCAGGAGTTAAATGTGCATGGAATTCTACAGTTTTAATCATCACTACGTTAGAAAAAGCTCGTTCTTTGACATAAAGTCATGGGTACAAGTCTGTGTACTCAAAAACTTGAAGAGTGAGATCAACTACAACTTCCAAGGAGCATTTTGGTCCAAATTATCCAAGCACCAAGCTTAATGTTAAGGCTAAAGTAGCTCAGTCCATAGGGACTTTGCTTGAGAACCGGAGGGTTGCTGGCTCAAGTCCTTATACGGATTGAGCATTGAATAGTACCTAGAGAAGTGCCAGTTCGCCTCCTGGGCACTGCCGCGGTGCTCTCAAACCCCCAACAGCCTGGGGCGCCTATGTGTTAGTCAATTTTTCTTATCACAGAGATAATGCAAATTTGACAAAGTAAAAGAAATAAAAGTAGCTTTGCAAGTTGCAGCTATTTTCTCGTTGCTTGGCTTGCTTAGCTTCAGTGTAGGGAGACTTTATTTTGATGTAGAGTAACTGGTAGCTCAGCTCACTACATTTTCTTGCCCGACGCTGGTTTTGTTACTGCATCTTGCACGATTGTGACGCCATTGAGGTGATCTCCCAACAGAGGTGACATATAAACACCTGGCAAAATAATAAAACAGCTTCTGTGGAAGTTTCCTCGACAATAGGTGCCACTGAGACCATATTTAGCCATGATGACGCAGACTCACAGGTAACCGCTGCTGGTAATAGGATGATAAGACATGTTAGTAAGAATGGTCTATGAAGAAAATTGCAATTGTATCTTGTGGCATCCTCACCTGTCCTTAAGGTACCCAGGGTGTCACAGCATCCACTTTGTGAACTGCTGATTTTTATATTTCAAACAGGCCTGAAATTATTATGACAGCTTTGTTGAGTCTCGTAGGAAAAAAGCAAGCACTCTCAAAATAAATCCCCTCGAAAGGTGCACGGCCAGCAACAGACGTTTCGACAGAAAGTCTTAAGACTTTCTGTCGAATCGTCTGTGTTTCTGGTACTGCCACCCAAGCTGGTTTATTAAATTTACCAAAAGGACATTTGTGAGTGCTGGCATTTTTCCCTTTGTTAGCTTTGTTGAGTCTGCCAGCAGTCCACAGTTTTGTCTGTACGCTCTTCACACCTCCAAATGTTCAGTACTGATCTGATATCTAGACCCCTTCCTTTTATTGTCAGGAGAGACAATAGAGTGGACGTGACCTCCTACAATCTGATCCATCTGGCTGTTTTAATTTGCAGGATAATCACAGTATCTCTGCGCTCTTCTTCCACAGATCCCCAAAGTCCCCCTGAACGGTGTCATTGACCCGTTTGCCTTCCCTGCCCTTCCTGCTGGGAGCATCAACCTGTCCCAAAACACCGGCCCATAGCTGCCTCTGCTCTGCTCTGCACTCACAGACTCTGATCAGACCCAGAGATACGCCTGAGTATGATGAGGACTTTGTGTTTCTGGGATGCTTTGTGTGATATTTTATAGATGTTGTGTCTATGAACCCTCTCATTTCAAACAAACGTTGCTACGTCAGTCTTTGCTGATGATGTAGCTGTGAGTATCTCCAGTCTCTGGGCATTTGAGCACTGACTCTTTAAATAGTTATCAATCAGCCATAACCAATAATTTTACACATACTCGTTCTGCAAGTAACCAACAATGTTGTGAAGTGTCCTGTCAGCTGATTGGAAGCTGCACCCGACAGGATTCATTGCAAGTGGACTTTCTGTACGGAATAAAGGACAGTTACAGCAGGTTAACTCCTCCTACTCTACATCACAATGTGAATCTGTGAACATGGTTTATATGCAGTTTATATCAGTATCGTTCTTTGAGTGGCGTTTAGAAGACAAATCCATAGACGGTGTAAAAGAAGTGGACGTAGCACCGTGACATCACCCTTTGGTTTGTGGACGAATGCTTTGAAGCCACAGGTTTGGCATTTTGGCATGGATGTTTAATAATACCTAGATACTGGATGATGGCGCCCGTTCAGTCCAGTGGAGCTGCTCGCCTGGTGCAAAGGCCAAAAAAGGTTTTTACCTATGGGGTTTACTTCCAGGGTATGTGGCACACTAAATATGCACAGTAGTGTTTCGCCTGCGAGTTCCTGCTCGGCTCAAAGACTTCCCACTGTGATGACACCTTATTTAGGTGACACGCCATCCACCATCCCCTCCACCTCACGATGACAAAGTCAGCTCATGTACTACTTTATATGTTCACTTTTGAAACATTGACATCATATGTATAACACGTGCAAACATCACATATTTGTGGTTTGCAGAAACCATGACCATGACATTTTCCTCTGGCCACAGGTATGAACATTGTGTCTCCAAAGACGTTTGGATTTTCTTCAGAAACTTAAGAGTGAAATGTAGAAACAAGTTTTTCCCCGACACTCACGCAGCTTTTGTTTGAAAAGAACTGTGACTCAGACTGATGCTCCACATTTAAGAGTCACAGTTAACACTTAGATTTGCCAATTATCTGGCAGTTTTAAAGGAATTGTGTATTGAATAATCATGTGAGACATGAAATGCAAACAATGCAGTATTAAAATACTGTAAAATCTATTTAATTGAACTCAACTGTTGATGTGACCAAGATAATCCTAATGAAACATATTTTCACCCCTGACATTTAGCATGTAGTAGCCATATATACACATTAAAACAGATGTAGATGAATGTATATTTAAGTGTTTATTAATGTACAGTATTTGGCAGCAATTACATCTTCAAGGTTCACTTTTGACCTTGGGTAAGTTTGACAACAAAAACTACTTACTGGATTTCTTTCTGGAGCTTTCAGCCACATGTCATGGCTTTGACCAGCAGGTTTGCTCAGTTGTTATGGAAATTTTTTTGTAAAAATATAACAAAATAATTCATATTCATAGAAAATATGCAGACAAGTTTTATTTAGGTTACATTTTGACATTGACTGTTTATACACCAGTGACAGTTTTGGTTGTTGACTCGCTCAAAGAAATGATCTGGTCTATTGTCAAGTTTATGTATTTCAATTAAATGTAAAAAATTTAATTGAATCAAGTATTTCTAACTAAACATGAATAAATAAATGAATAAATAAAAAGAAAACTGTTATTAATACTCTGAGAATTTATGTAACTGTATCTCATAGCATTTACCTTATTTTTTAAGTTTATGTAATTATTTTTAATACATTTTGTGTATTTAAAATATGTTGAATTTCCTTTAATGAAGTTATGTATTTCTGCAAATTATTTTTTTTGTATTTTAATGAGGCAAATTCAGTGAGCTACATAAATTCTCATAGCCTATTCATCTCATTTTAATTGATTTCCTTTCCTGGTTTATGTTAGACTTGATTCAATGGAAATCTTTATATTTATAAATTCTATGAGCGACATACATTTTCATAGCCCATTCATCTCTTTTTTATATTAATTTATTACTTTTTATTTGGTTTATGTTACAATTGATTAACTAGATTCAATGGAAAATTTTATATCTAATTAAAATACTTAAACCTGACAAAATAGATCAAATCATTTGTTTAAGTTCAAAGAAACTAAAAAGATATTTTAAATTAATAGAAAATATTTGGACATATTTTATTTGATTTTACAGCCACAGTTTTGGTTGTTGACTCACTCAAAGAAATTATTTGGTAATTGGTAAATATAAATATTTCCATTGAATCAAGTCATTCTAACATAAACCAAAGGAAAAAAAGTAATTTAAACAAATAAAATTGAGATTAATAAATTATGAGAATTTATTTAACTATAACTATTTATGTAATTACTGTCAATAAATTCTGTGTATTTCAAATTTGTTGAATTTCCTTTAATCAAGTTATGTATCTAATTACTGTAAATTATTTCTTTGTGTTTCAGTAAGCTAAATTATATGAGTTACATAAATTCCCATAGCCTATTCATCTGTTTTATTTGAATTAATTCCTTTTCTTTTTGGCTTACTTTAACCTAACAAAATAGACCAACTAATTTCCTTAAATGCAAAGAAACTAACAAATATTTTACATTCACAGAAAGTATGCAGACATATTTGATTTCAGTTACAATTTTTGTAACTGAAATCAAATAAAATATGATTTCAGTTACAATTTTTGTTGTTGACTCACTCAAAGAAATGGTCTGTTCTCAAGTTCACGTTTCAATAACATATAAAATTTCTATCCATTTAAGTCAAGTAATTCAAACATGAACCAAAAAAGTACCATCTATGTAATTAAATCAAACTGACATGAAAAGAATTAATCTAATTTACTTTATTAAATTCATGTAATTACTGTAAATATATTCTGTGTATTTACTTTAATAAGTTTATGTACCCAATAACTGTTAATAAATTCTATGTATTTCAATAACGTAAATTCTGTGAGCATAAATTTTCATACTCTACTCAGCTCAGTTTTATCTAATTTAATTACATAAATGGTATCTTTTGATTTATGTTAGAATTATTGACTCAATTCAATGGAAACTTTCTTTATGTGTAATTTGAATATGTAAACCTGACAAAACAGGACAAACAATTTCTTTCAGTGCAAATACATTAATGAACACTTAACAAATGTCTTTATATCAGCTTACAACCACATTATAGTGGTTCATAGTTTTTATACAACATTTAATGCTTATAAATGTTAAATTCTGTTTAAACTGAACACTGATTGGTGGATAATTCTTCAGTAATCAAACTGGAGACTGATGGAGTGCATAATGAGGGTTAATAGATTATTGGCAGTTAAAGATAATGTTGCAACCAGGAATACATGAACTCATTCTTAATTTGTTTTCGCTCAAACACCTGATCTGGGAGAGATGGCAGCTCTAAGGTTTAATGTGAACACATGTCAAAGAGTGTGACTCTGAACTTTACAAACATGCTGTATTATTTCAGTTTAAATCCATCTCAGATGTTTCAAAGAAGAACTTTGTCATATTCTTAATAAAGTACACGTTAATGCATCTTCGCCTGCAGGACGTCGCCATGTTATTGTGCTTCTGTAATTATAGGTCATGTTACTCTCTGTAGCTGCTTTGTATTCCTCGTGTATAAAACACAGCCATGGGGGAGAAGTCTTATTTATTTTGCCATTAAAGAACTGTAACCGCTCGGATACCTTCATGTATTATTTCTCTGTGTTGTCTCAGGAGGAGTTCATGTGGGGACACAAACTGGGTCGCCCTCTGACGGTCACACATATGAGGAGGTATCAGGTTCAGCTCATTGTGTTCCTGTGCTCCGTCTGCAGCTCCAGTACCAACTTGTATTGTTATCTGTGGAGAATCCGCGATGGCACATTTAATGTTGAGATATGTGTTCCCACAAACCATTATGTAACCGCCAGCAGCCTCTTACACAGCAGATTCGCCTCGGCCTCTTCAGTGTCTCCTGTGTTTCTGATTGAATCATTTAAAAAAAACACACTGCTGACGGAGGCCAAACAAGAGTCTACAGCCATGGCAGCAGCTCTGTCAGGCTGGACTCAGTCACAATGGTGCTTTGAGCTAAATGCTAATGTTAGCCCCTCCTGCTGGCTGCAGACAAAAATGTGGTTTTAGTGGTCCAGGAACAATACAGAAAGACTTTTGCTTATGTGAGACAGTGCAGAAGTACTCAGCTACACCTAAAAGCCCTGCATTCAAAATGAGATCTGTGTGAAAGTACAAATGTATAAACATCAGAATATACTCAGCTATACTACCTGAAGTTCGAACTCATTTGGCTCATAAAGGTGCAGCTCATTTAAATTACTGTATATTCAGCTTGTGAATTTCCCCATGGGGATTACCTTTTTGAACTATCAATTTGAATCTGTGAAGTTACCAACATTTTGAAATAAATAAAGTGAGGTAAAAAACTTAATATTTGCCTTTGAAATGCAGACACTCAAAATTGTACTTATGAACAATTCTTGAATGCATATACGTCGTTACTTTCTGCCACTTAAAATTAATATAATCCTGGTTTAATGCATGACACAAAAAACTTACTCATTATCATGTAGTTTAATGTCTGCTTCTGGATATAATAGTTTTAAACTGTTCTTTAATTGGCTATGCATGGAAGCATAATGTATTCACTTGAGAAAAAATAACTCAGATTTTTATTTTATTTTTTTTTAATTAACAAGATCATTATCGCAGGGCGTCGGTGGCTTAGTGGTAGAGCAGACGCCCCATGTACAAGGCTGTTGCCGCAGCGGCCCGGGTTCGACTCCTGTGGCCCTTTGCTGCATGTCTCTCCCTCTCTCTCCCCCCATTTCACACTTCACTATCCTATCAATTAAAGGCAAAAATGCCCAAAAAAATATCCGAAAAACCAAGATTATTATCGCAACTTTTAGAAGGTTTTCATGGAAAAAAAAATCTTGCTTTTCAGAATTAAGATTATGTGCATATGTCAGAATTCTGAAAAAAAAAGAAATGTAATGAAAAAAAATTCCTTAATTTTCCAAAGTTATGACATTATATCAGAATTATAAGTTTTCATGGAAAATCCTGCTTTTGTTTTCCTAAATTAAAAAGATAATGACCTCAGTTATAGCTGCTGCGCAGTGATGGGTCGGGTCCGGGCATTTTTAGGCAATTCTGAGCAACAAGCAGAAGAATTGGAAGACAGCCGTCCATGCATGGAAAAGCAGATTTGAAACCACTGTAAAAAATTCAGTTATCGAAACAAAAATCTGAAAATACACATATTGCATCTAGACAGCATGGAGATGTTGGTAATTTGTTTGTAACAATGATTGATTTGCTCCATAAGTGAAAAACTGATGTTTAAAATTGCCATTTTTACATTGACTCCAATTGTTCACATTAGAGCAAAATTCAAAATGCTGTCAAAAATTCAGTTTTTGAGATAAAATTCTGAAATTTGCCACACATCATCTACCATGACTCTAGAATTTTGTC